GAAAACTTGTCTTTTTCTTGTAGAGGTGTTGTACTTTCCTATAGATTTAAGAAATTAGTCCCTTGTCTAAAATATCATTGCACAAGATTTTTTCCCATTCTGTGGGTTCCCTCTTTACTCTTTTGGTGACATCCTTTGATGCATATAAGTTTCAAATTTTTAGAACATCCCAATCTATTTTATCTTCTTTTGTTTGTGTAATTTTCACAGTTTCGTAGCCTGTATATGCCATGGACTAGAGCCCTTAAATTTGTCCAATTTTTCATTGATGAGCTTTATAATTCTGGGATTCATATTTAGGTCTTTAATCCATGCTGAGTTGGTCTTTGTATATGGTGTGAGGTAAAAGGTCTTGTTTCAATCTTTTGCATATTGCTTTCCAGTTCTGCCAGATACTGTGTCTTCCCTACTCAATGTACTTTGGCCTTTGTCAAAGATCAGCTGGCCATATATGGATGGGTTTATTTCTGGATTCTCAATTCTGTTCTATTGATCTATGTGTCTTTCATTGTACCAGCAAGCTGTCCTCTCAGCACTGTTTTTGCCGTGTCCCAAAGATCTTGGTATGTTGTGTTTTCATTCTCATCTGTTTCTAAGAACACAGTTCTAGTCAGTCTTATAGGAGCTCCATTAGTCAGAACCAACGGCAATAGGTATATGTGTAAATTCATAAACAACATCCATATATATGGAGAAAAGATTGAAGTTGTCAAAGACTTCATTTTGCTCAGAAAGACCATCAACACTCATGGAAATAGTATTTAAGAAATCAAACAACGTACTGCATTAGGCTAAACTGTTGCACAAGACCTCTTCAAAGTGCTCAAAAGATGTCAGCTTGAGGATTAAGGTGCGCCTGACCCAAGCCATGGTATTTTCAATAACCACATATGCATGCGAAAACTGGACAGTGAATAAGGAAGATGGTAGAAGCATGGAAGCATTTGAATTATGGTGTTAGAGGAGAATATTGAAAGTACCATGGATTGTCAAAAGAACAAACCAAAGTGTGTTGGAAGAAGTACAGCCAAAATGCTCCTTAGAAACCAGCATGACCAGACGTTCACTCTCATACTTTGGACATATTATCAGGAAGGACCAATCTCTGGAGAAGGATATCAGATTTGGTAAAGCGGAGGGTCAGCAAAGAAGAGGAAGACCCACTACAAGATAGATTGGCACAGTGGCAGCAGCAATGGGCTCAAACGTGGAAATGATTGTCAGGTTGGCGCAGGACTGGGCAGTGTTTTGCTCTGGTGTGTATAGGGTGGCTATGAGTCGGTACCAACTCAATGGCACCTAACAATAACAACAACAAGTGTATGTGTATAAATCAATGTATGCACATATATAAATCATAAACTAATAAATCAATACACAAATGTGTACATGTATGTGAATGTATAGAAGTTACATGATCAATGATGCTGTACTGATAGCAAAATTTAATAAAACCAAACTTTTGACACTCACTGGTATAAAGAAGGTACTGCAAGGAATAAGACCAGAGCTAAGGTTGGAGTGAAAGGTGGCATTGATGATGGAGAGGAAGGAATTCATGGAGGAAATCTATGCAACACGGCGGAGTCCCTGGGACTTGTAAACTCAGCTCTTACAATCCAAGCAGTGATGGCTGACCATAGATTAAAGAAGTATGGGGAGGCTAGAGAGGACCAGGCCACTGGGATAAAGGAGAGGTGTGAGGGCTCTGGAGGTTAGCCACAGAGATCAAATATGGGCAGTGGGGCTCAATCAGAGTGAGGTATCAGGGATGATGATTTGAAGGACAGCCATTCTGGGGCTGAACAAGTTCAAGTGGAACTTCGGCAGTGGAGCTGAGGTGGCAGCTACTGGAGATTGAATTTGAGGAACTTGCTGGGGTGCCGCGTGTCACTGATCACAAGAATCTGGGACAGGAGCCAGGCAGGTAACTAAATGAAGTAGGATGATGTGGAAAAGGGAGTGGAGGGGACTGTGGTAAACTGGAGAGAGCACAGCTACCTGAACGGGACAGATCGTACTGACTTCAACCAGAGGGAAATGTGGAGCTAATGCTGCAGGATTTGCAGATTTCTCAAGAGAAAACAGAAATTTAGATTTTTATGTTAAATCTCTTGATTTAAAATTTAAATCTCTGATTTAAGAAAATCAAGAGATTTAAATCATTTTTTTAAGTCAAGAGATTTAAATTAATTTTTAAATTAAATCCCCAGCCTGGTAGCTAATAAGTGCCAGAATCCTGACTCAAACCTTGACCAATTCCAAATCAGCGAAGCGTGTGGCTTAAGGTCTCAGAAAATGCCGTCACTCTGAGGCCTCCTTAACAATGAATAAGTAAAAGAGAGCTACTCAACTCCCATTTCTTCCGTATCTGTCGACTTCTTCCTTGCTCTACTTCTGACCAACTTTGTTCTCAGCGAGTTGTTCACTAATACAAAAGATGGAGCTGGTCATGGCTTAAACTACTCTTTAGTAGTGCTGGGAGTTGAGTTGTGTGCCACCCAAAATACAAGTCAACTTGGCTAGACCATTATTCTTGATATTATGTAATTATCCTCCATTTTGTGAACTCATGTAATTACCCATAAACTATAAATCCTAATCTCTATGATGTTAATGGCAGTGCTGGTGTGGCACTCTGGGTTAGTATGCTGGACTGCAAAGTCGGTTTGAACCACAAAGTCAATGGTTCAAGCTCACCAGCTACTCCTTGGAAACCCTATACAGGGTCACTATGGGTCGGAACCAACTTGACAGCACTTAACAACAATGATGTTAATGAGAAGCAGAATTAGAAGCAGTTATATTAATGAGACAGGATACAATCAATAGGATTAGGTTGTATCTTGAGTCAATCTCTTTTGAGATATAAAAGAGATTAAACAGGTGAGCAGAGAAGAAGAGGGACTAGATTACCAGCAAGAAAGAAGATCCAGAAACAGAATGTGTTCTTTGGATCCAGAGTCCCTGCCCTGAAAACCATCTACATCCAGGGGAAGGTGGATGCCCAAACACATGAAGATTTTCAAGGGACATGAAGCCCACAGATGTTGAAAGGAGACAAGACCTTCTCCAGAACCGACAAAGAAAACAAACCTTCCCCTAGAGATGGTGCCCTGAATTTGGACTTCTAGCCTCCTATGTGAGAGAATATATTTCTGCTTGTTAAAGCCATCCAGTTGAGGCATTTGTTACAGTAGATAATAACCAAGACAGATAGGAGTAGACCTTTCTGGAGAAGAAAGGAATGGGTATTAATAGTAGAATAATAGCATGGTGTATTTGTAATTCTTTTATCTGTAGGGTAGTTCCCAGTTCCTCTGGTGGGGCCCTGTCTTTTTTCAGAGTGTGATGGCAATGTGACTTAGCATGGTCAAGCGCAGAACGGCATCCATGAGTAATCAGTGATTGGAACAAGAGTGCACACTGGAACTCAGAGGAGCAGATCAAAATCAATTTTTGGAGACTGATACTTTATGCTGATAAAGAGGTCTCTGTTTTTATCGAAGCATATTTACACTAAGGATTGGCTGCCAAGGGCCACTCTCCCCACTAGATTGAGTGATCTTGGCTGAAATGAAACAGGACTGGGAGATACAGAAGAGACAGTATCTTGTTAGCATTTAAGGACTTGGATCATGTCACTCCTGAAATCTAGCCTCCTCACATATTTCAATTATAGAAGCTTACTAATTGTTGATTTAACCTTAAATTGAGTTAAGTTTCACTTGTCATCAGTAACTAGGAGTTACTGGTGTTGTTAAGTGTCATCAAGTCAGTTCAGACTCATAGCGACCCTGTATAGGGTTTCTGAGGAGTTGCTGATGAGTTTGAACCATCGACCTTGCAGTTCAAACTGACCTTGCAGTCCAATGCTTATCTTACAGTGCCACATCAGGATTCCAACTAGGCAAACACTGCCCAATATAAAGAAAACTGGCATTTAGGGTATTTGCCCTTCTTTGTATATCTTAAACTAAACCCATGGTGTAGCTGCCTTCTTTTTAGGCTGACACAGGACAAGCTCCCTACCACCAACATCCCCATTTAGTTCCCTGTTACCTGGAAATAGTTCAAAAGCACACCGGCCATAGACAGTCCCAGGCCTGCAAACGTGAAGGGAAGAGTCACCTGAACCCCAATCGACACAGTGGTCTCCCCGCTGGGCTCAGTGCCCAGTTGTTTGTAAGCCACCCACTGGCTCTCAGGAACATTCCAAGGTGCATCTTCTGAAGCTGGGCTTCCTGGGCTGAGGACTTGTGGCAGGCCCGGCTTCTCTGGCTTATCAATGCCTTCCAGCCTCCGCTGCCGAGTCTCAGCTCTATCCATCTGATCAAAGCTGAGCTTCTGGTAGCTGTAACCTAAAAGATAAAAAAATAACAGGAGCTATAGAAAAGAAATACTGACTTCTAAGGGTTTTATGCTCTATAATCAATCCCTCAGCTTCTACTGTTCAGCCAGAGACTGGTATTATTCAGGCCCATTCATATCCTCAATCTCAGCTCTCACTCTGCCTAGCCTCCTGGAACCTTAAGTTAGGATACTTTCAAATTTAATTTGCTATGTGATATGTGCGAGAGAAATCATACAAACAGGCAAGAGCAAAAATACATA